ATCCACAGAGGGGTTGAGAAAAATAAGGAAGTCAGAAAAATGCTGCAAGAACAATCAAATAAGATAGATATAGCATTGGAAACCATTCAAAATCTGCAAAAAGAGGTCCAAACAATTAATAATAAAATATCAGAAATGGACAATACACTGAAAGGGCAAAGGTCTGGAATTGAAGAGATGGAAGCCAGAACCAGTGAACTGGAAGACATCTCTCAGTACTGCCAAGAGAGAAGAGCAAGCAGAAAAAGGGATTTTAAAAATCTGAAGAAAGTCTAAAATTCATGTGTGACAACATGAAGAGTAATAATTTGAGAATAATTAGAAATGTTAAACTTAATTTTTTTTTTCCATTTGTACAGGGGTAATGCACTGTATTAAATATGTAAGGTCTTATCTACATGGGTTTGATTACAGAAACTAATAAAGTATTCTCTAAATAATGAAAAAAAAAATCTGAAGAAAGTCTAAAATTCATGTGTGACAACATGAAGAGTAATAATTTGAGAATAATTAGAATTCTGGAAGAATCTACAGAAGACCATAGAGGACATTGTTGAAGAGCTTCTGGAAGAAACTTACCCTAACATCCTGAAAAATGAAAACAAGTATTCAGAAAGCTCAATGAATCCCAGGAAAGATGACTCCCCCAAAAGAAAATCATGAAAACATGTAATAATCAAGCTCTCCAAAAGCAAAGATAAGAAGAGAATCCTAAAAGAAGCTAGGAAAAAGAGAAGTGTTACTTACAAAGGCAAGCAAATAAGATTAAGCTCTGATCTTTCAGCAGAAACCATGTAGGCAAGAAGAAAATGGGGAAACATATATAAAACCCTGAAAGCAAAAAAAAAACTGCCAACCAAGAACCATCTATCTAGCAAAGCTGCCAATCAAATAGGACTGTGTAATAAAGCCATTCCAGGATAAATAGAAGCTAAGGGACTTTGTCAAAGCCAACCCAGTGCTTCAAAACATCCTAAAGAGAGTTCTTTGGACTGAGAACCAACAAGAACAGGCAACAACCAGAGATTGACATATGTGGCAACATCACCCAGAACTCAGTCGACAGATGGAAAAGTCCAGAACAGAAGAGAGCTATAAGAACAAATTCAGAGGATCTGGAAGATCAGTCTATGATCAAAACAATCACAATGTGAAAGAAGGTAAAAATATAGGAACAGAGAGCCAAGTGATGAGGAAGTCAGGGAGTTTGCAGAGTAAAATAGACTGTTTTAAATGGAGGAAAAAGTGAATCGAATATAGGGTAACCTCAAAGAAAATTAATACTCCACAACATACCAAGAAAACAAAAATCCAAGAAGAACATGGAAACACTAAAAATATGACGCTTAAGAAAAGATACCTATACTAAAAGAAAAGAAATTGTCTCTGTAATACAGAGATCAAGGCATAGTGTGAAAGGGTAAAGAGGGGAAATAATGTTAAGGTGCTTGACTGTCTTACATAAATATTGGTTTCCCTTGCCTACTATTGTAAAATAGACACTTGAGTTGGGTAGAAAGGAGTATCAGAAAACATGATTACAGAAAACTTGCAAGCCCATCTTCAGCCTATAACTGATTGCAACACCTAAAAGGGGCTGTAGAACTTGCCCAGATATAGGCTCTTTGCAGAGCCTTTGTAGTATATAGGACTTTAGGTGGAATCTTAAGTCCTCTGAGGAGGGACATTCCCACTTGAAAGGACATGCAGACTAGTCAGGAACAGCTATTGGAACAGAAGATACTTCTTGAAAAAAAAAAATACCAGCAGGAAAAATCAAAAACAAAAATGGCAGTCTGGTTAGCTATTACAAGTACAAGCAAGTTGTTTGCTGAGGAGCCATTAAGGTAAGTAATTGAGTACCTTCAGGAAACAAACCTCTCCAAGACTGAAACACACAAGCAGGCATAGTGAGTAATTGTTATCGTGGCCAATTGTGATGGTGGCCATGTTGGTCTTATTTTGAGTGCCTTCCAACCTGAGCGGCTTGTTTCCAATATTGTATCTTACAATATTCTGGTGCTATTCATGTTTTCATCTCATACTTCGGACATGTTATCAGGAGGGACCAGTCCCTACAGAGGTCATTATGCTTGGTAAAGTAAAGCGTCAGTGAAAAAGAGGAAGACCACCAACGAGATGGATTGTCAAAGTGACAGCAACAGTAAACTCAAACTTAACAATTGTAAGGATGGTGCAGGACCAGGCAGCATTTTGTTGTGCATATAATCTCTACGAATCAGAACCAACTTGACAGCACCCAAGAACAATAAGTGGTTACAGAAAAAGACATCTATCTTTAAAGGTAAAAAGGAACCCTGGTGGTGCAGTTGTTTAGACATTGCACTGTTAATTGCAATGTTGCTGGTTCAAATCCACCATCTGCTCTGTGGGAGAAAAATTAGATTGTCTCTTCCTATAGAGATTTCACAGAATCGATGTCATGTATTTAAGTGTGTCCCCAAATATGTCAGCTTGGCTGGGTCATGAGTCTCAGTTTGGCAGTTATGTAACTATGTAATGTGGCAATTACATGATGATTCCCTCATTGTATGATCTAATGAGATAATCCAATAAAAGAATTAAGGCTGCAATGCCTTTAATCCTATCCCAACCCACATCCCATATAAAAGTGTTTCCTTATCTTCCAAGAGATTAAAGGAGAGAGACGTGAGTCTGCAGTGGAGTGCATCCTTTGGACCTGGGGCCCTTGTACTGGGAAGCTCCTAGATCCAGGGGAAAAAATTAGGCCTAGACACAGAGAGAGTTCTAAGAAATGTTGGGCTACAGATCCTTAAAGGATACAAAGACCTTTCTCCAAAGCCAGAGCACTGAACTCAGACTTCTAGCCTCTTAAACTGTGAGAGAATATATTTCTGTCCTGTTAAAGCAGGAGCTAAAGAGCTCTGGTAACATAGTGGTTACAAATTGGGCTGAAAACCTTAAGATCAGCAGTTCGAAACTACCAGCTGCTCTGCAGGAGAAAGATGAGGCTTTCTGCTCCTGTAAAGATTTACAGCCTCGGAAACCCTGTACAAGGTCACTATGAGTCAGAACCGGCTCAATGGCACATAACAACAACAACAAAAGCAGAACTAGAGAACTAAGGCACTCAGAAACCCTGTATACTGTCACTGTGAGTTGGAATCAAGTTCTGGCAGTGAGGTTTGTTTGGTTGCTTTGTGATGTACCAGTATTTACTGGCTCTCAGGATAACCCGTGTTTTTGCCACCATGGCAGCAGAGTGGGCCTTTTCCATGGGAGTCTGAACTGCAGAGCTCCTGACCTGGCCAAGCAAAATGGAAAATGACTTTTACTGCTAAGTAACATGGGCTGTTGACATTCTAAGCTGAGGGCTCTACCAGGCCACCCCAAAGCCATACCTCTTCTTGGTAGTCATCTTTTCTGGTCTCAGTTCAGAGACATGCTCAGCTCCTGCATGCCCACTTTGAATGTTCTATGGCCAAGTGACATTTGCTTGGGGCTCCCAGGTGGGGCTTCCTAGTGTTTTAGAGATGAGATCTCATGCTTTCCCCACTGAGGAGATCAGCATCTCATCTTGGCTCTGGATTCTGGAAAGTAAGCCAATAAGGGAGGAAGCATATTGAAGAGTTATTCTTCCCTTTGGTGGGACAGGAAATTGGGACCAAATTCTCTGAGCTAAGACCCATGACTAGCTAAAAAGGATGGACTTGGAACCACTTCTTTCTGTTCCTCAAAGATGGCCAGACCCACAGAGGGATAGACATGGTCACTATGCACCAGAAGCTAAAACAAGAAAGGCACTGAACAATCATCTATGGCACTTGCACATGCTCCTGGTGGAGGATGCTTCTTAATGTTGCAAATGCTCCTACCCCTAGATTCAGAGTTCACCCCTACCAGAGCCACTACTGCAGCTGCCCCTTGTAGTCTTCACACTCCTCTATAGATGGTAGGCAATCCCTTTTCAAGCTAGATAGTGGCCCCAGTAAAATAGCATGGTCTGCCATAAACTTGAGTGATATTCTGCTTCTTTTGGGTTATGCCAAGTGGTCAGAAGTTCATGGGTGGTACAGAAAGTTAAGTACTCAACAACCAGCTGAAATGTTGGTGGTTTAAACCTAACAAGAGGTACCTTGGTGTGGTGATCTGCTTCTAAAATGTCACAGCCTTGAGAACTCTGTACAGCACAGTTTACTCAGTGGGGTCGCCATGAGTCAGAAATGACTTAACTGCAACTCACAACAAGTTTATATTCCTGATTTAAGTTCTTGAGGGTCCTACTTTGTTCATTGCCTTCACTTTGCTTTGTCTAAAAATTATCCCCAAATATTCTGACGTATCACCCCTCTCAGGGATAAGGGAGTACATTTTTATGAGTTGCTTATACATTAGTATGTGGAAGAATAGCTTTTCCAGTACCCAGCTGGGATCACTGAGGGATTTAAGAGGACTCAAGTGTGGCAACAATAGTGAGGTTGGCCCAGGATCGGGCAGTGTTTCATTTTGCTGTGCATAGGGTCTCTATGAGTCAGTACCGATTCAATGGCACCTAACAACAACAACAATGACTTGCTTTGGATCATACTCTGTGAACTGGCAGAAGCTCTGATTTGTGTGACCCCTTGTCTCCTGACTCTTCCTCCTCTACAAGTTCCCAAAGGGAGCACAGGATCATAGATTGGAGTAGTAAATAGTAGACCAAGAATCAGCCAAATGTTGCTGCTGGTTGCCCTGAAGTCGATTTTGAGTCACATGTGTAAAGTAGACCTGCCCCATCAGGTTTTCTAGTATGTGACCCTGTAGGAAAAAGATCACCAGGCCTGTCTTCTGAGGAGTTTCTGGGTAGGTTTGAACCACCAGCCTCATTGTAGCCAGTTGACTACTTATTGAGTGCTAAGCCACGTATGCCACCCATGGACAATCTACCACTGTTATTCATTTGTTTCCCTTCTCTGTGCCCAGCTCCGAGCACTGGGACGCCTGTATGTTGGCATGACTGTCCTCTCTCTTTGCAGATAAAGTGGCTTGTGCTGTGCCTTCTGAATGCCTGAAGCACTGTGGCACCAGAATTAGCTGCAGTAACATCGCCTACCCAGTCCTGGTGATGGAACTGATCCCAGTCGGTAAGAAATGGAAGGCACCACCGAGGGCCACAGAGGTCTCTGATCTGTGTCCCCGTGGAGTTTTGGTCATAAGTTAGGCATAGAGGGCTGGAACTGGCCTGTGGTTCTGGGTGGAGATGTAGAGAATGGGATTGGGATTGAGAGGGAACCTTGCCTGGCCTTGGTGGAAGAAGCTGGGCCTTCTTCCTTTCTACTCCTCATGCACTGATGGAGCGTGTGCTCTCAGAAACCTGGCCCATGCACACAGTGTCTGCCATTCCTTCTCTGCCAGTGCTTCCTGGCTCGACGTGCTGGTGGGCATGATGATCTCATCCTACCCTCCACAACCTTACAGACCAGTGGGCTGTGGGTTGACCAGCACAAAGATGGCTTTCATTGTGAGAAGACAATAAGCTGGTGTCTTGATCTCCCCTTCTCTTAACTCTCATGGCAGGGCATTACTCTCTCTAGGGAGCATAGGAAGGTACCATCAGTAGACTGGGGGGAAATGAAGACCATAACATCAAATACAACAATGATAGCCTCCAAGTGCATGCCACCCTGGCCAGCCCACATTTCCAGAAGCAGGTGTCTTGATTCCCCAGCTGAACCTCAGGAAAAGGCTTTGAAGGAGGGAGCTGCATTGCAGTGGCAGGCAGGACATCAAAAGACCCCAGCTTTGTCCACCCCAGTGGCCACTGAACACAGTGGAGGTATGGCTGTACTGGGCTCCAGCCAGGGGCCCTTATGAACCTCATCTCTCCCTACCACTCATAAGACAAACATCTCAGCAGAGCAATTGACATCACAACAGCATCCTAGGAGAGGCACAACTAGATCTGTTTATCGCTAACATTGGTTGAGTGCCTGCTCAGTATTGAACACTGTGCTAACTTGTCTACTCAATTTATCTTAATTTCAGCAACAGCTTTATGTGGGCAGTGCTATTAGGCCCAATGAGATGCTAAGGACTGAGGACTGAGGCATCTCTGAGTCTCTGGCTCCTTATCTGTAAAGGAGCCAATAATAGTGTCCTACCCTACCCTTCTACTGGGCCACAGGGAGATTGGGGCAATTGTCTAAAGAGATGTTGTAATGGCTCCAGAGAGATCAGCTACCGTTATATAAAGGCACAGCAGGGAACTGCCAAGTCCTGTCAGAGCAAGGACAGGCATCAAGCATTCATTCCAAGTAACAGTTACAATGTCCTGGAAGACTACTCAGCATGTTGAAAAGATCGAGATGAGGCCTCTGCCCTCGCCTGGTGCAGCCAGAGTGTGGAGGCTCAGGGGTTGTCTTCTCTTGCAGGCTTACGTGGCTTCATAATGTCCGCACTGTGGGCCTCCCTCATGTCTTCCCTAACTTCTGTTTTCAATGGTGCCAGTGCCCTCTTCACGCTGGATATCTACACTCGGCTACGGCCCGTGGCCACGGAGAAGGAGCTCATGATCACAGGAAGGTGAAGGAGACTCTGTTAGGGTTCATTAGTGCTCTCAGTGTGGCAAGGCCCACAGTATGTTACTCAGCAAAACATTTAGACTGTAAAACTGTATAAGGGGCTTCAAAAAGTTCCTGGAAAAATCCTATTACCTTGCAGTTCCATTTTCCACAACTTTTTGAAGTCCCCCTCAGATATGGCATTGTGCTATACATACATAGGGGCTCTAGAAAGTTCATAGAAGAACTCAGTTATCTCTCATTTAATTTTTCCATGAACTTTTTGAAGCCCCCATGTCTACCCCACTTGTAAATGGCATTGTCCTAGACAGATGCAATATGATTTGTGATCTTTGGATTTTGGGGGGTGGATTTGGCTGCTGTTTTGAATGAAAATATATTGCTTTGCTTTTACCTTTCTCAGGAAGATAATTATTTGCATTGGGGAAAAAAATATAGTAATACTCACAATGATTAAAATAAGCATAGTGTAATGGACCCCCTTACTCTCCCCCCCCCCAAAAAAATAGTCCTGGTGAGGCCAACTGTATACATTTTCTTTAGTCTCAGAAGCACCTTGAAAGGTAGATGCGGGTACTTGTGTTCTTATAGAAATGGGGAACCAGTGGCCCAGAGGGAGGAGGTCACAGAGTAAGTGGAGGGATGTGTCCATCTCAGGGTCCATGCTGTCAACCACAGTGCCACAGGGCACTGTGCCAGGCCTGGAGTGGGGCCCAAGCCCACATAACACATGGTCCCTGGCTTCACATGGTCCCTGGCTTTAAAGTATGGGGTTCTACATTGATAGTCCATGGCCACATCTAGCCCACAGCCATGCTTAATGTGCTTATGTTATGTCTATGTCACGTCCTTTAAGGTCAAGATATCTGTTTCTCAATTACCTTACCTGCCTAACCTCTGCAGGTTTGGAGTTTAATTTTACATTTTGACTAATGTTTATTGGTTATGGGGCAAGCAGTTTATGATTGGCTGCTAACCATTTACCCAGCTGTGCCACAGGATAATGATTTAGGATCAGCTCTGGTAAAATTTAAAAACACTCTTCCTAGATCTTAAGAAACAGATTTCAAATTTGTTTCAGTAGTGATGTTGCTGTTGTTAAGTGCCATCAAGTCAGTTCCGACTCATAGTGACCTTGTGTAGGGTTTCCAAGAAGCGACTAGTGAGTTTGAACCACCCACCTTATATTTCAAACCAACCTTGCAGTTCAATGTTTTACCCTCCAGCGCCACAAAAAGAAGATAGAAAAAACAACAACAGGAAATTTACAAAATTCAAGACACGATACCAAGACCTAAAATACGTAATAGGAAAATGAAAATGAAAGACCAGTCTCACTTAGAAATGTCAATGCAAACATTGTAAACTAAATATTAAAACCAAAACCCACTGCTGTTGAGTTAGTTCAACATATAGTGACCCTATGTAGGGTTTCCGAGACTATAAATCTTCATAGTCGCAGACAACCTCATCTTTCTCCCAAGGAGCATCTGGTGGGTTTAAACTGCTGACTTTGCAGTTAGCAGACTAAACACCTAACTCACAGCATCATGTTGTTGTTGTTGTTGTTAGGTGCCATCCAGTTTGTTCCGACTCATAGTGACTCAGTGCACAACAGAATGAAGCACTGCCCAGTCCTACACCATCCTCACAATTGTTGTCTGAGCCCATTCTTGCTGCCACTGTGTCAATCCATCTCATTGAGCGTCTTCTTCGTTTTCACTGACCCTCCACTTTACCAAGCATGATGTCCTTTTCCTGGAACTGGTCCTGCCTGACAACATGTCCAAAGTACAAGAGACAAAGTCTCACCATCCTCACTTCTAAGAAGGATGATAAAAATCCAGCGATAGAAGACAAAAAATCCAGCAATACTTTAAAATAATGATATCACATTATCAACTATGATTTTTTTCCCCAAATAAATATAAGGATGGCTCAATGTTAAGAAATGTAGTAAATGTACCATGTTGATAGATTAAAAATAGGAAATCATATATAGCTTTTCACCGATGATGAAAAGGCATTTTGGTAAAATGGATGCTTTCTCAACTTGATCAAACATATCTATATCACTTTGTCTTGGGCTGGGTTCTCTAGGGAAGCAAAACCAGTGAAAAAATATATATGTAACAAGAAGTTTGTATCAAGGAAATGACTCACAATTATAGAGGTGGGAGAGTCCCAAGTCCAGGTCAGGTGAACCAACATCAGCAGGCAGGCGGGTCTGACAGTCAGACAAACAGGCTGCTGATGGCTCCCAGGATTGGCAGGTAATAGAGTAGGCTTGCCTGAGTATCTAATACATATTGGGTAAGGCTCACCTTAGTCTTCAAACTGACATATTTGCTCTTGAACACTTTAAAGAGGTCTTGTGCAGCAGATTTGCATAATGCAATATGTCATTTGATTTCTTGACTGCTGCTTCCATGAGTGTTGATAGTAAATCCAAGCAAAATGAAGTCTTAGACAACTTCAATCTTTTCTCCACTTATCATGATGTTATTTACTGGTCAAGTGGTGAGGATTTTTGTTTTCTTTACACTGACATGCAACCCATACGGAAGGCTGTGGTCTTTGATTGTCATTAGTATTTTAAGTGCTCTTCGCTTTCAGCAAGCAAGGTTGTATCATTTCATCATTGCCTGTCTTCTGCGAAGTTACCCAAAGTTTGTCATGATCCATCCATGTAGTTGAAACCTTAGCATAGTCAAACATCTTTCACATGTAAATATCTTTCTAGTATTCTCTGCTTTCAACCAAGATCCATCTGATGTCAGTAATGATATCCCTCATTCCAGGTCCTCGTCTGAATCCTGCTTGAACCTCTGACAGTTCCCTGTCAACATATTGTTGCATTGCAGCTGTTTTTAAATTATCTTTAGCAAAAATTTACTTGCATGTGTTATTAATGACATTGGCTGATGATTTTCGCATTCCATTGGTTCACCTGTCTTCGGAATAGGCACAAATATGGATGTCTTACAACTAGTTGGCCAGTAGCTGACTTCCAAATTTCTTGGCATACAGTACTGGAGTGCCTCCAGTACTGTTTCAGTTTGTTGAAAGATCTCAATGTGTTTTCCATCAACTCTCAGAGCCTTGTTCTTTGTCAATGTCTTCAATGCACTTTGGGCTTCTTCCTTCAGAAGCATTGGCTCTTGATCATATGTTGCATCCTGAAATGGTTGAACATTGACCATTTCTTTTTGGTACAGTGACTCTTTGTATTCCTTCCATCTTCTTTTGATGCTTTGTGCATCATTCAATATTTTGCCTATAGAATCCTACAATATTGTACATCAAGGCTTGAATTTTTCTCTTCAGTTCTTTCCATTTGATAAATGCTGATCATGGTCTTCCCTTTTGGCTTTCAAACTCCAGGTCTTTACACAATTCATTATAATACTTGACTTTGTCTCCTTGAGCAGCCCTTTCAAATTTTCTGGTCAACTCTTTTATCTCCTCATGTCTTTCATTTATTTGCTTTAGCATCTCTACACTGGTTTCAAAGTCTCTTCTGCTATCCATTTTGGCCTTCTTCTTCTTTCTTGTGTTATTAATGACCTTTTGCTTTCTTCCTGTTATAATGTTCTTGATGGTATCACACAACTCTTCTGGTCTTCGGCCATTAGTGTCTAATGCATCAAATCTGTTCTTGAGATGATCTCTCAATTTAAGTAGGATATGTTCAAAGTCATATTTTGATTCTCATGTACTTGTTTTAATTTTCTTGGGCTTCAGCCTGAGCTTGCATAAAGCAACTGATGGTCTGTTCCACAGTTTTCCCTTGGCTTTGTTTTGGTTGATGATATTGAGCTTTTTATTTATTTATTGTGAATTGAGTGAAGGTTTACAAACAAGATCATCAATTTTACATTCAACAAATCAAATGTTTTGTTTCATCTCAGTGATTGCAATCATCCATGCAACAAAAGTTGTCCTGCTTCTCCCTGTGGTTACTCATAAACAATTGTTGTTGTTAAGTGCTGTTGAGTCGATTCCAACCCATAGCAACCCTGTATAGGGTTGTACTCATGTACAATACCATATTTCAAGTTCTTATGTATTTGTGGGATAAATCTATATCCCACCCCCATTCCCATTCAGCCTATGTTTCTGTCCATGTCTCTATACACAGAAGACTGTTATTACATGGTTGCATGTATATCACTATTTACCTGTATCCCCTTTAGCCCTTGCATACACCCCTGTGTCTTCACCTATCTTCATCATTCTTATTTCAAACTCGCTCTTCTTGTTTACTGCCCTCCCAGTCACCTGAGTTAACTAGTGGGTTCATACAATATTTATCGTTTTGTGATTGACCAATTTCATGTAGCATAATGTCCTCCCAGGTTCATACCTGTTATGAATTGTTTTTCTTCAAGGTAGATTCATCATTATTCTTCAAGGTTGCATAATACTCCATTGTGTATGTACCAAAATTTGTTTATCCATTTTTCCATTGATGGGGAGTTAGAATGTGACCATCCTTTTGCTATTGTGAGTAGTGCTGTGATGAACATTGGTGTGCATGTATTTCCTCTGCTCCAGATACTGAGTTTTTCTAACATCTCTTCCACCAGCTGTAATCTGTTAGATTTCTGTATATTCCATCTGGTGAGGTCCACATGTTATTATTAAGTCAAGTTGGTTCCAATCCATAGCAACCCTGTATAAGGTTTCTGAGGAGCAACTGGTGAGCTTGAATCACTGACCTTGAGGTTCAACCCCGACTTTGCTGCCCAGCGCATTAACCCAAAGTGTCACACCAGGACTCTTCCACATATATAGTCATCTTTTATATAGTTAAAAAAGTTATTTGCAATGAGCAAGACATTGCTGTTGCAATTTCCAACACCATTTCTATCACTAAGGCCATATTTTCCAATTACTGATCAATCCTCTTTGTTTCCAACCTTTGCATTCCAATCACCAGTAATTATCAGTACATCTTGATCTCATGTTTGATCAATTTCACACTGAAGGTGTTGCCAG